TATAAAAGATTTCTGCCAGGAAACCACTGCATACTTTTGTTTATCTGTGTAAATAAATTCTTCTGTTTTAATTATGTTTTCTTAAGTTCAAAGAAACGATGAAAGAAACCAGTTTCATTGGCTTATAATTGGGATTTGTGAATACAATGGATTCTTCTTGGCATGTATGTGAAGTCACTTCAGTCAGAGCTGTGTTCCTCGGGTCTCAGGAGGGAGAGGGGAGTGAATGCAGTTGGAGACTAGATGGTTCCATAGATTCAGATGTGAGGCTGGAATGGACCTTAAAGATGTGGGAACCCAGACCGTCACTTTGTAAATGGGAAAATGAAAACTCAGGGGTTGAGTGATGGCTAGTTAATGCAAATCATTATTCTTTCCATGGTGTAAGTCAGGAATCACTTTCAAGTACATTCCTTTTCCTCCTCCTTTGACTCGGGAGAGGAAAAAAAAACGGTGAGAATGCTTGAAGAAGCGTTTAAAAAAAAAAAACCCAGAAGACAAAGAAGCAAGTTATCTTCCAGCGTGGGGCAGCTGGGAAGCGCAGAGGCCGGAGCCAGCAGGGCACAGGAGAAGGTAAGGTCTTATCGGGGGCAGCTGGAGTAAGCAGGTAAGTAAAGGCTGGTGTTACTCGCAGGAGGTGAGGGCTCTGAACAGCAAGCTTTTTGAAATCCATGGCCAAATCAGAAAATGAGGACTTCTCACTTCCCAGTAAAAGTTTAGTGTGAGGTAAAGGGTATTTGTTTTTAGACTTAACTTGGTAGGAAAAGGAAAAAACATGGCACGAGAAACAGTATGTCAGCTGGGAGGTTCTGGGTCCAGCTCCAGGCCCCGGGAAGCCCACAGCCAGCCCTACGGTGTTTGTGGATTGTCCCTTAGGGCTGGTGTTTTCTTGACCTTCTAGGCTCCGACACCTTGCTTCCATGTGTAAACGGTAGAATTTATATCAGGATGGAAGTGGGGTTTATGTCTCAGCAATGGCAAATCAATTTCAATGAGAATGGTGGCATTACTAACAGCACTGCCTGGGCCCCTTGCCCCAGCTGTCTGGGCTTCTCTCCCCCCCCGGCTGGCTTCTCTCCTTGTCTCTGTCCTCGCTGCTCCCTCCGCTCTCCTCCCCCCCTCTTGCAGGAGCAGAAACAGCAAGCTCTTCCCTAACCTCAGGCAGAGCAGGTTTCCCCCCCTCTGCACGGGATGGGCCTGCAGAAAGCACCCAAACCCTCTAGCTGTCATCCCTCCCTCGGAGCTCAGGGGCTTCCCCCAGGGAGACAGCTCCCCCATTCCCCTTCCTGAACAGGAACTGTGGGGCCAGCTGTTACCATTAAAAAAAAAAACTTTAGTCCACATCTTTACAGAAGATGGTAAAATCTCTAAAGTTTAATCAAGATACCTAGCTGTACTGCATGCAGTGTTAATGTTTTTTATTTGCTTTGTTCTGTATAGTATGCTATTTTAATAACTAATAGTAATGGGCATTTCTTGATATTTATACAATTGTAATGAACAATCTTCAAAATTTTAATGCATTTGTGATGAGATCTAGCCTTTCCTCTCATCTCCTCTCAGTGATTCACATCAAAAGGTGGTTAAATGAAGCAGCTGTAAGGAGGCAACTAGAACTAAAAGCATAAGAGGAAATCAGGTTCCCCTTGAAGGGCATTCTTATCGGGGGCAGCTGGAGTAAGCAGGTAAGTAAAGGCTGGTGTTACTCGCAGGAGGTGAGGGCTCTGAACAGCAAGCTTTTTGAAATCCATGGCCAAATCAGAAAATGAGGACTTCTCACTTCCCAGTAAAAGTTTAGTGTGAGGTAAAGGGTATTTGTTTTTAGACTTAACTTGGTAGGAAAAGGAAAAAACATGGCACGAGAAACAGTATGTCAGCTGGGAGGTTCTGGGTCCAGCTCCAGGCCCCGGGAAGCCCACAGCCAGCCCTACGGTGTTTGTGGATTGTCCCTTAGGGCTGGTGTTTTCTTGACCTTCTAGGCTCCGACACCTTGCTTCCATGTGTAAACGGTAGAATTTATATCAGGATGGAAGTGGGGTTTATGTCTCAGCAATGGCAAATCAATTTCAATGAGAATGGTGGCATTACTAACAGCACTGCCTGGGCCCCTTGCCCCAGCTGTCTGGGCTTCTCTCCCCCCCGGCTGGCTTCTCTCCTTGTCTCTGTCCTCGCTGCTCCCTCCGCTCTCCTCCCCCCCTCTTGCAGGAGCAGAAACAGCAAGCTCTTCCCTAACCTCAGGCAGAGCAGGTTTCCCCCCCTCTGCACGGGATGGGCCTGCAGAAAGCACCCAAACCCTCTAGCTGTCATCCCTCCCTCGGAGCTCAGGGGCTTCCCCCAGGGAGACAGCTCCCCCATTCCCCTTCCTGAACAGGAACTGTGGGGCCAGCTGTTACCATTAAAAAAAAAAACTTTAGTCCACATCTTTACAGAAGATGGTAAAATCTCTAAAGTTTAATCAAGATACCTAGCTGTACTGCATGCAGTGTTAATGTTTTTTATTTGCTTTGTTCTGTATAGTATGCTATTTTAATAACTAATAGTAATGGGCATTTCTTGATATTTATACAATTGTAATGAACAATCTTCAAAATTTTAATGCATTTGTGATGAGATCTAGCCTTTCCTCTCATCTCCTCTCAGTGATTCACATCAAAAGGTGGTTAAATGAAGCAGCTGTAAGGAGGCAACTAGAACTAAAAGCATAAGAGGAAATCAGGTTCCCCTTGAAGGGCAGGGTCTTGAAAACTCAAACCTACAAAAGGCAGAGAAAACATCACAAGCTCAAAGCAACACATGTGGACTTGACAGCATTTCCCTAAGAAGAGCTCTGTTTTTAGGGAACTCTCCTATTTGAAGACTATAAGTCATGGTGGGCAAAACATAAGACGTCTCAATGGTCTGATACAGGCACAGCCCAGGAGAGATGGCTGAGCAATATTTTCTGTACTCTTTTACACTCCTGTGCTTTTTTCTCTTCCCGTCCTCCTTCAACTTCCCCAAATATCCAAGTATTTTCTGCTTACAGGGCAAGGACTACCCAAGGGTCAAGGTCTCATGTCTGTCTCACCACTGCCTTCAGGATGTGTCCCCCTAAGCTCCACCTGCCCACCTGTCTATCTAGTTCTATCTAAAACCTTCCTAGGTACACCTGTCTAAAAGATGTGACAACTTTTAGACTTTAGGATGACTTTAGGATTTTCTCCATTGCAGGCGCACCTGGGCTGTGTCTGCAGCTCCCTATAGCTGCAGCTGTCAGTTTTACACCCTATTCTCCTTCTGTCCCCTAATTGAATTTCCTCAAAAACCATTTCCTCTTCTCTCAGGCCCCACATGCGGAGTTTCTTAATTTTCACAATCGCCTGGCATCACTTAGGAGGTTGCTTATTTCCTCTGAGGTATGCGGCCCACAGCAGGGGGCAAACTGTCACCTAGGGGAGAGGGGGCCTTAAGCCGGGCGTGGTCTTGGGGCAGGAACAGCCAGGTTATCAGTTATCACAGGCACTGCTGCAGAGTCCAAGATCACAGCATACTTTTGCAGGGTTTAATTATGCTCCTTATCAAAACTACTGAGCATAAATAGTGATTATAATCAGTATATTTACATAAGCAGTATAAGTAGATCAATACAATCACCATTTATTAATAGCTTAATTGTTCTCTATCATAGTTTAATTTACCATTTTCCCTTTCAGCTTTAATTAGTACAACTTTTAAAGTTTTTAATGTATAATGAATGTTTTAACTTAAGCAAGCCCTGCTAGCGTGTGACAGATGGTTAATGTCAAAAGCCCAATTGGAAGGCTTCTGTTTAGCCTTTGATGATTTCATTTTTGTTTGGGTTTGGGTTTTAAGCCAGAGAAATGTTTGGCTGTGCCGATAATTTGTAAGCATACATCACCATCAACTTTTATGGTCCTTCAAATTCCCTGCTCTCCCCCGGATTTCAATTCTAGGAGGTCTAGGAGGGGCCGGGCCAGGCGGAAGCATGCCTGAATGGCCTGTGTGATAAGCCTCAAAAGTTATTTTTCTCAATTAATGGTTTTCACTGACAATTTTACTGCTCTGCTTTGAGCTTCCCCATGCCCTTGGGCATCTGTACATATGTCTGTGATAAGCCTCAGCCAGTCCAACAGAACTGGCTCATCTGAATGCAGACTGCCCTATTTAAAAAGCTCATCTCTCTCTTTTTTTGAATGTAACTCTTGAAAATACATTTAAACAGAATAGAGCGTTAAAGCAGAGCTATAAAAGTGATTTATTCATGAGTACATACTTATTCCTCTCCCGACATCTATTGTATATTAATTTTCCTTGAATGTATCCTCAGCTTTTTTCTAAATCTTCACTACTAAAATGAACTTTTTATTCCCACCCTTACCCTCTTCTACTTTGCTCCAAAGACTCATATGTGCTGAAAGGGATCCGCTGGGGGTCCAGAACCACAGTTTGGGAAATTCTCCTATGAAATGATAATGCCCCCTAGTCACAATTACTGAATTTAGTAGGTAGTTCATTCGCTATTTTTTAATTTTAAGGGAAGAAAAGTTCTTAAGTCATTTTTTCTGAAGCTACTTGAAATGTGATTTGATAATCATGCTCCACTGGTAGCAGGAAAGCATACTTAGGTCAGTGGAACGGTCACCGTATAGATAGGTAATTCCTATAGCACTGCCCTCCCCTATCCCAAAGGACTCAGCAGGAGAAAGAACCAGTGATAACATGCTGTCATTATCCTGTATAGTTTTCAAACAGACTGATACACATCAGTTTGTCCAGTCCTTTGTTTTGTTTTTTTAAGCGAGGAGAAAACAGAGGCTCAGAGATTAAATAAAGTGTGTCTTCAAGGTCAGACACCTTGTCAGTTAGTGTCAGAGACCAGGATTTATACCCACCACTCGATCATTCTGATTAAAAAACAAATTCAGTTTCACAAATAAGATGAGAGATCCAAGGATTCTCATTAATGGTATGGTAGGCAATCTTTCGTCAGCAATACTTACCAGTGACTGTGCTCTTCTTAGCTTAGATCTGTCCTGCAATTTATTTTTCTTATCGTGAGACTGTTGGCTGGAGTCTGGGGTCACTTCATGCCTTTTCCTTCTTCTGTAAATTGGAAAGCATGGGAAAAGTTACAAATGATCACTTTCAACCTTTGGTGGTTTGCATAGCTATTTGTCTGATTTCGTTGTCCCCGTGATTAAAAAGATTGTCTTTACTCAACTGGCAACACACCAAATGTCTATCAACAGAAGGCTGGTTGAATCAATTCCACACAACAGAGGACTACGAGCTACAAAAAGGAAGGCAGAACATTTCTGCCTGTAACCGTGGAGTGATCTCCAGAGATCTGTCACATGAGAACAGGAAGGTAAATGAAGTGCTAAGTGTTGTGTACTGCCATTTATTTCAGAAAGGGTGCATGTGTGTGTATTGCCTTACAATTTTTTTAATGGAAGGACTACATAGTAACATTTTGAAAAATGATTACCTACAAGTCGGATTCCCATGTGACTCAATCAGAAACATGGAATAAATAGTATTGAGGGGTAGGAACACAAGTTAGACTTCTCCAAGTTTGCCTTGTTTTGCATATTTGACTTTGGAACCATCTCAGTTTTTCTCAAAATTATAAAATAAAATGAAGAAAGTCCCTAAAATCTAAAAACAAAATAAAACAAATGATCTTGTCTGTGGAGTTGGCATTACCACACACAGAGGTATTACTTCATGGGGCTTTAACGCAGTATTTGTCTGAAATATTCTTAGGAGAATATTTCTAATACTTAAAAACCATAAACAATGCTGCAATAAATATCCTTGCACAGATATACTTTTGTATTTTCAATATTGAGTCCTAGAAGTGGGATTGCTGGGTCAAAATGTAAATACATATATATTCTTGCTAGATATTGTCAGATTTCCCTCCATAAGGTTTGTGCCAATTTATGTTTCCACCAGCAGTGTATGAGGGTGCCTGTTTGCCCACAGCCTCACCAACAGAATATATTGTCAATCTTTAAAGTTTTGCTAATCAGAGTTGAAAAATGGTATCTCTTGTGACTCTCTGCAAAAAGCAACATGGGAAAGATAAGACAGAAACTAATTTGATTTGTTAGTGGAAATGGGGTGGAAAGGACAGCACGGAAGGAGTGGAGTGGAAGAGATGACTGTGCCTTTTGTTCACTTGCTGTATCCTTTCATACAGTTTCAACTTGAGAACCATGTAACATACCCACACTGAAGGAGATACTAAAAAAAAGGAACCCACATAGCTTCTAAATACAATATTATGAGTGTACACCCTCAAACTAAAGGCAAAAAGAAACAAATATTGAATTCTAGTTAGTAGATTTGTTTTAATAGTGACATGGGTTAGCAATTCTGAATTTACTTTCAGAATTTATGAGTATATACTATGTATGACATATAATACAATTTTTATACAAAATTATATGCATACACATATAATCAAAATTATATATGTATTTATAACATGTAATCTACATCTGTTATACAGTAAATAAATGAGAGAGTCAGGTTTCTCACTGCCAGAGAAGGGAGATGTAAATATGGAAAAGGAAAATACCCGAGTGAACTCTATGGTGCTGGACTGGAATTCGAGATGTTAAAACAGTACATGAAGCTGGAACATGAAATCATTACAGCTACAAAATGCAAACAAATCCTGATGAACTAACCAATAACAGTTTGTATACTTTTCAGTTACTTTTTGCTTCTAGGTATGGAAAAAAAATTGTACTTCACAGTTAAGTGCTCTTTTCATCTTTTCACGCTGACGTGCCAGTAAATTGTTTCCAAAAGCAAAGAAGTGGAGAAGGGCATGGAGCTTCTCACCCTTGCCAGATTTGCTCGACGGGGTCACAGTTGTCCAGGTAATTGAAACGAATGATATCGGTTGGATGCTTGTCAGAGGATCGCCAGGGTGGGAGTTCTTTCTCCCCTGGGTGATTTTTCTTTCTTGAGGAAGAGGACCGGCAAGCCGCTGAGGAAGACCGCTTTTCCTCTAGAGTGCTGCTTGTAACTGGTCGAACATCGGCAATCACAAACCCGTCCTTTGGAGGTGTCTAGAAGAAAATCATTTTTTTCTGCTCTTAAAACAGTGCAATGATAACAAGAAAAACAAAGGATATCACCATCGTCACCATATGGCCACAGTAGTGACGGTGATCACAGCAGCCACATGCCAGGCCCTGTCTCAGGATGCTTTCCTGCATTATTTTATTTAACCTTCACAATACCTCTAAAAGGTAATCATTACTACTCCCATTTTATAGAAGAGGGAACTGAAGATAAGATAAACCAATTAATTTGCCTATTACTACATAAGTAATAAGACTCGGGATTAGAATTTGAATCCAGGACTGTCTTGCTTCCCGTCCATGCACTGAATCTCTCTGTCCTGTACTGCCATCGCTTCTACCACATTATCGTATGATTTTTCCATAATTGCAGTGAATTTATCCATAAAAAAGTACAAGTTCCAAAAGAAAAAATGTACTCCAGGTCTAATTCCTATAACACATAAAGACAATTTAGAGTTATATGGGGACAGACAATAGATTTCATCAATTATCAAAACCTCAACTGCTCTCAAAGAATACTTGAGCTTTAATTTCCCAAGTTGAAAGTCTATCATTTTGTGACATTCATAAGGTTTTTATGTGGTTATAACCTAAGGGAAGTGGTATTAGTGTGTTAAGAAGCTATTAAAGGCTTAATTTTTGTTCTTTAAGAGATTAGAGAAGCTTTGCTTGGTAAATTGGTTTGCTTAAATTGTTTGTGAATTAAGAAATTCCCCAGTCCCTCCAAGCAGAATCAGTTAGTTTCTTTTCCTTGTTTTCACTGCCATTTGCATGTATTCCTATTACAGGATACCACTTAGTACACAGTGCTGCAATTCCTTGTTTATTTTTCTATGACCTGGGCCACTAGTCTGGGCTCCTTGAAAGCAGGGGTTAGGATCATTGTGCTCTTAGCACCTAACACGTAACAGGGTTTAATAAATATTTACTCACTTAATTAATGATTGTAGTCTAGTAGACCAATGAAACATTTTACATTTATTTAATGCCTCATTATTGGTTTAGTCTTCAACATTTTGTGCAGATCTCATTCAAAATGGACATGCATTTTATTTCTGAGTCTATGTTGAATGAAATCTGTTTTTGCTGGAGAAGGTCTAGTTTAACAGTACTGGGGAAAATTAATACATGATAATAAAAAATAATTTCAGAGGGAAAACTTGAGGCATAAATGCTAGTAATGATATATTAAACACCATCAATTTGGCAAAATGCTTAAATGTCACTTAAAATAGGTTATAATGAAAACTGTGACGGCTTCTCTGTATTAAGTTAATAAAATTTTTGTTCATTTTGCCTAAAGTTTTTTTGAGAATTTTTAAAATCGTGAGCAGATGATAAAGTTTTTGTTAAATGCTTTTGTTTGCAAATACTGAAATGATCATACATCTTTTTTCTTTTATTCTGTGAATTATATCAATTGCTATTTGAATATTATGCCAACCTTACTCTCCATGGATACATCCCACTTGGTCATCAAGTATTATTCTTTTTTTTAAATATGCAACTAGATTTACTTCACTAATATTTTAATAGGATTCTTATGCCTGTGTTCATGAGGGATAATGGTCTGTGGCTTTATTTTGTTTTCGTGTAAAGTCTCTATCTGGTTTTGGTATAAAGGTAATGAGTTGAGAAGTGTTCCCTCTTCCTCTATTTTCTGAAATAGTTTATGTAAAATTTGTATTTTTTTTCTTAAATATGTGATAGATGTCACCCATGAAGCTATCTGGGTCTGAAGTTTATTTGGCAGGTTTTTAAATTATGCCTTCAGTTTTTTAAATTGATTAAGACTTATTCATGTTTTCTGCTTCTTACTGAGACTGTTTTGGTAATTTTTCAAGGCCTCTTGCATTTCACCTAGGTGGTCCAATTCAGTGGCATGAAGTTGTTCATAATATTCTATCATCCTTCTAATGTCTACAGGATCACTAGAGATGTCCCTATTCCATTCCTTTTACTAGTAATTCGTGTTTTCTCTCTATTTTATCTTCCTCAGTCTAGCTGGAAGCTTAACAATTTCGTTTACATTTTCAAAGAAGCAGATTTGATTGTACTATTTTTCTCTATTGTTTGTCTGTTTTCATTTTCATTGATCTCAGTTCTTTACTATTTCTTCCTTCTATCTACTTTGGGTTGAACATACTCTCTTTTTCCTAGATGAAGTGTTTTTGAAATTATGTTCTTTGCCGTAGTGTAGCCTTATAGACAGTTATAAAGATCATTCTAGTCCAGTCCCCTCATTGTAAGGTTGGAGAAACTATTATCAACCACAGCCATCTACTCATAAAATTCTTTCAAAAGCTCTACTGGAGCACAAGGCACAAGGCACCTGAGGGAAGCTAAATGATGCTCTACTCCAGGGGTTGCCTGTGTTCACCCTTATTGGGGCAACATCACAGGGAATTACACAAATTATCAAAGTATGTATAATGCTCACAGTTGACCTTATTAACCTTAGCCTTTCTGATTTAGGTCTATCTCCTTAACCAATACATTTATTAGTTGATTTGATTAATCTTTGTCTTTTTTATTTAGGCCTATTTCTTTAACAGAAAAACTAAATTTTAATGTAACAAAGTACTCCCTACAGAAATTTAATACTAAGCAAAGAGGCGGTAACTTTCTTGCATCATTATTATTAATCAGAACTATTCATTATTTTAAAATATAGATATGCATAAATATTTTGTGAAAAAGAGTTATTGTTAAAGACAACAATGCATTCAAGTACATTTACTTTTTAATAATTAGAAGTTTGTGCATCTTTATTCTCCCACTGCCCCGATGGCCTAAAGTCAGTTTTATAACTAATACTCAAAACCTCTTTCATCGTATATATACATTGGTTAGTCACTTTTTTCTCCTCTGCCCCAGAACAGTACAAGCTTCAGCTGTGGAATGCCATTCCCTGCCCCCGACTGAAAAGGAAAGTCAAGAAAATTCTTAGGAGAAAAAGAAGCCATAGCTTTAGTAATTTTTAAAAAAACTTTTTCCATCGCTGCAGTTTAAAACTTCCTTTTTAAAAGAAATCCTCATGGAATATCCCAATTACTGATATCAGAAAGACTAGTTTTATCATTGCAATTGTAACAATATTAATTATGCATAGTTTATTACTATATTAAATGTAGAAGGATTCTACTTTAAGACAATAAAATTAAACCTAAATGAGCAATTTAGGAGTTGACTACTCATATTTCAAAAGGATTCTTCAATTTCAAAAGAGCTCACTGCAGTTTTACCATAGGATATGACACCCCTGTGGTTTTAAAAATCATTTAAAAATTTTAATTTACACATAATTTTTCAGGAACTAATCTACTGTGCAAAACAATGCACAACTCTGCATGTGTATAGATCACACCATAAAAAATAGGCTCATAAAATTTTCCTACAAATTATTTAACTGTGACTATAAGAACAAACAGAAACATTGGTTATAATGCATAGGAAATCACTAGAAAAAATTATTCTTGCATTACTTACTTTTTATGATCATATGTAAATGCTTTAAATTATTTAGCTTCTAGATTTAAAAGAACTTGAAAATACCCATTATTCCCTTCCATAATTACTAACTTATTGGAAAACCTTTCTTTATAAATGATATAAAAATAAACTTCAACTCACCTGGTAGAATCAGAAAGTTTGAATTAGTAAAGTAAAATACCCATATTACCCACAGGGTCTCAGTGTCAGGACAATCTGGTGTGTGAGTTAGAGATGAAATCCAGGAATCAGAGTGAGGAGCTCCACAGTCCCAACTGGGGTAGAAGTGTGCTTTGGGGTGTCCGATGGGGGCCCTCAACTAACATGGCTACCTTGAAATGAGCCATCACATTCTCAGAAAAGAGAATCTTGAAGTCACAGTATATTTCCTTTGAATCAACTCCCTTTCCCAATTTCTAGCTGGACCATGTAGTCCTAGTTCTAGAAATCCTAAATAGCTGATGTGTTATAAGTTTGCTGCTTTTTTGCCCCCAATTTACCTTAGGCTTGGTGACATGAAGTTCTTTGACCATTTGAATGTAGTGCTTTTTCCATATACCCTGCTCAAAGGGAGTCGGAGAGAAATCGAGGTACCAGTTAAACCGCAAACATTTGGGCATCCAGAGCCGATCCAGCTCAGTTAAGTTCTTCCAGTGCCAGCTCACCTGGAAAAACAATTGGGGAAAAAAAAAACCACACCTACTCAGGTTACATGCCTACTGTCTCTAGGTTTTAAGTTGTCAATCCTGGACCTGAGGTAACTTTCTTGCTCTTTGCCTCCAAATCACAGCTGAGTTACCTCCTACCTGAAATGCTTCCTACCCAGGCTGAATGATTTTCTTGAAATGTTCATTCAGATTGAGAATCAGCATTAATATTTATTGAGCACCTATATTAATCATCCTCACAGCAACCTTAGGAGGCAAGAGTAATTATTACTGTCACATTGCAAATGAGGAAACTGAGGCTCAGATAGACTCTGGAACTTCCTGAAGGTTCCCAAAGTTCATATGACAGTTATTGAAGGTGCTATAAACTCAGGTCTGCCCATTGTTTATGCTTTCATGGTATTCTTCCATTTTCCCTCCATTCTTAGGATTTACCTAATTATACATTTTATAAATGGAACACAATTACTGATACTATATGATGTGTCCTATATAGCCCTTAAGATAGTACATAAAGTATTTGTTCTGTACGTTCCATTTCCACAGGATTATGGTCAAGTTCACATATCCAGCCAATGGTGGAGGTGACCCTACTGTGTGTAGAGTATATTTTCTCCCAGTTTTGAAGAAGTCTTGCTAGGGTCAAATGCATACAGAAACTTGAGACTAGATGTTCTGTCTTAGCTGTAAGAGTTGCAAAGATGACATCAAACCTTGAAACCCAAATTTGATCCTTGGAAAACTGGCCTCTTAGTCAAGATTAATTAAATAGTTAATAATATCTGAGTGCCAAAAAAATAAGCAGAACACTCTATCATGGGCCTTGTTACACATACATGCATT